CAGACTGAGAAACCAGAGTAAGTGTTTCTCCTGAATCCGTTCCCTTTGTGCTAGATGAACGAACATCTCTCCACATGCTCAGTTGTGAGAGATAAGTGTGTGTGAATGCCGTCCTTCACCAAGCTTCAAAGGAACACAAAGTTTCTTTTGAGTTGCAAACACCAATACATACATATATATGGGGAGTTACAAGCTACAAATCGGTTTAACTTTGAAAACCACAGGAAATTGAAATCGGCACTAAGGAACAGAATGAGAATCCAGAGTAACTGTTTCTCCTGCAACCTATTCCCATTGTGCTGGATGAACGAACGTCTCTCCACATGCTCAGTTCTGAGAGATGTGTGTGTGAAAGCCGAACTTCACCTTCCTTGAAGGGAACACAAAGATTATTTTCAGTTGCAAACTCCACTACATACATAGATATGGGGACGTACAAATTCCAAATCGGCTTTACAATGAAAACCGCAGGAAAATCAAACCGGCACTAGGAAACAGACTGAGAAACCAGAGTAAGTTTTTCCCTGCAACCCGTTCCCTTTGTGCTTGATGAATGAACGTGTGTCCACATGCTGAGTTCTGAGAGATAAGTGTGTGTGAAATCCGTCCTTCACCTAGCTTGAAAGGAACACAATGTTTCCTTTCAGTTCCAAAATCTACTACATATATATATATGGGGTGGTACTATCTCCAACCCGGTTTTACAGTGAAAACCGCAGGAACTTCAAACAGGCACTAGGAATCAGACTGAGAAACCAGTGTAAGTGTTTCACCTGCAACCCTTTCCTTTGTGCTGGATGAACGAACGTCCCTCCACATGCTCAGTTCTGAGAGATAAGTGTGCGTGAAAGACCTACTTCAACTAGCTTGAATGGAAAACTAGGTTTCCTTTCAGATGCAAACTCCACTTCATACATATATAGGGGAGGTACAATCTCCAACCCGGTTTTACAGTGAAAACCGCAGGAACTTCAAACAGGCACTAGGAATCAGACTGAGAAACCAGAGTAAGTGTTTCTCCTGCAACCCGCTCCCTTTGTGCTGGATAAACGAACATCTCTCCACATGCTCAGTTCTGAGAGATAAGTGTGTGTGAATGCCGTACTTTACCTAGCTTGAAGGGAACACAATGTTTCTTTTCTGTTGCCATCTCCTTTACATACATATATATGGGGAGGTACAAGCTCCAACACGGTTTTACATTGAAAACCGCCGGAACTTCAAACCGGCACTAGGAAACAGACTCAGAAACCAGAGTAAGTGTTTCCCCTGCAACCCGTTCCTTTTGTGCTTGATGAAAACACGTCTCTACACATGCTCAGTTCGGAGGGATAATTGTGTGTGAAAGCCGTCCTTCACCTAGCTTGAAGGTAACACAAAGTTTCCTTTCAGTTGCAAACACCACTACATACATATAAATGGGCAGGTACAAGCTCCAACACGGTTTTACAGTCAAAACCGCAGGAACTTCAAACCGGCACTAGGGATCAGACTGAGAATCCAGAGTAAGTGTTTCTCCTGCAAACCGTTCCCTTTGTGCTGGATGAAAGAAGGTCTCTCCACATGCTCAGTTCAGAGAGGTAAGTGTGTGTGAAAGCCGCCT